TCTGATAGCGCTGACAACACTACAAAAAACAACGTTGACATAACAGACAGTAAAAAACGCACAAAAGGCAAGAAAACAGCCGTACCAAGTGAGGATTACCAAAAAGTTCGTCCAGCGCCGCCGTTTGGCACAGTTCCAGTGCATAGTTGTACATCAACTTCTCCGCACAGACCAGGGGCAACTCAGCACTGGAACCGGGTAATCCCAGGCTGACCAATTCTTGAGATTTCATTAGACAGGTGTGATACCGCTCGTTCAATCGGTTCAGCACTGCAAAAAGAATAAATTAATTAATTCAAACGACTGTAGTCTGAAAACAACTGCAGAAATAATTATCTAGATTTATGAGGAGCATCAATTTTTCAAAAGCTAATCGTGCATCATGAAAAACGGTAAAAAATAAATGTAGATCAACTAATGCGACTATCGTAAACAGAACTGGCAGAGCTCATAATGTCTTTTGAACCAGTTCTGTTTAGAACGACATTAGGGGGCGAGACAGTCACTGTTTACGGTAATCACAAATGAAAACACACGGAAAATTGTTGGCCGGGAGTATACCACTGAACGGACAATGGCGACATTCAGATGAAACTGACGGAGTTGGACGGTACCTGATCGACTGTGTAAGAATGAAAAAGAAAGCAGCACTCATTTGTGACACTTAGTCAGTAAAGACCTAAAAATTCAACGTAGTAAGACTGTCAACCTCATATCGTTTGAGACAGAGGGCGATATCTGCAATTCACAAAGTCTGAGCGTCTGCCACGTTGTTGCCTAAAAATCACTATTTTCTTTACCTTGCTTAACGGCTGGAGACAGACACAAACGTTTGGCCGCGATTTCTTGCTGAGCGAGTTGCAAAGAAGAGGCCAGCATATGCAGTGCACGGACGAATATCACAATCTGTTCCACCCGTCGGTACGACTCATTTACGGTCACCTCTCGATCAAGGTTGGACAGCTGAAAAACAGTCCTGCATTATGAATATAAAGAAAAGCAGGAGCTGCTTATGTGATGCTATAAAACTGACCTTTCGCGAATGCAATATGGCGCTGAGGGGGCTGGCTCGGATGTTCGCAAGATTGACCAAGATTTCGACCAGCTGAAGGGCGAAATTCAACTTCGCCAAAACTTCGTTATGATCACGCTGAAAACAAAACAAAATCAGGCCGTCATGCCGTTTCGTTCGTTAACCATGGTGAGTGCCACTTACATCCAGAAGGGTTTCAGCCTTCAGTTCTGGCGGTGGATAAGAACTGCGGACAAATGAAGACGGAACCGGAGGGAACAGTTCGTTCTCTAACTTGCTTTCAAGGTAATCTTGCTTCAGAGTCCTATGCTCTCTCAAGATGTCCAATAAATCTATGAAGAAAAATAAGTTATGGAAGCAACAAAGACACCAGCTAACAGTCAATAATTCGTCAGATGAAATATATCATGTTTGGATCAAATAATGTGGATGTAATTTCGTTATATGAGATCGATTAAGCACTACAGCTATCATTTGGTATATCGAACCATTTATTAACAAACCTGATATCTTAGAGTGCTGCGCTTTAGTTGCATCATTAATGATCAGCCACACGTAACTGCACCATCCATCAATTTTCCCAGCAGCATTACTCTTCGGGTCGCTGGGATTGCAGTTAGGACATTTTCCTAATGCTCCCAGCCTTTCGTCAACCCGAAAACATCCTGTGTTCGGCATACTAGAACCATATGGCTCCAAGTAAGATTCACATCCGCCAGCCATATCGCTTTGAGAATACAATCCACCCTATGAGTTTCTTCGATAGCGTCCCGCCTCATTTTAAAATAATTTAAAATGTGATGTCTTAATATGGAAGGGAATCATCTCCGAAGAGAGGGTAACTTAAAATAAGGTGTTCCGATAAGCCTAGTCACATAAGTAATTCTTCGAAATACCCTCAACTGGCAGCGCTTGCATCCAAGAATGCACTCCTTCGGTCATCATTCAGTACTCCAGATAACAGATTTGAAAGTTGCATAGAGAGTCTTGAAGACAAACAGCTCCGTGTTACAGCGTATTTCTTTCTTCACCACCACACATCGGTTTGGCTATCGCACTGCCGTACTCAAATGATCGTACCGCACTGTACACGTTACTTTTTAACATCGTAATTCTGAAAGCTAAGTAGATAGCGAACTCGTTCATCATAATGTACATAAATGGGTGGATATCATATTACTAAGAATTAAGTAATCTGATGGTCAAACATAAAAACAGAAAAATTCTGCATGTCACTCAAGTCCTGCTGCCAGCCATGGTAGATTATGATGAACAGCGAGCTTGCCGGCTCCGTTCAACGTTCGCACGATCTAGCAGGCTACGTGGATCTTCTCCTGGCTGATGCTGATCAATTGGAGGTCAGATTTCTTGGTGTTAAATGTCTAGATCCATGGCCATTCACAGACTACTCACTGCACAATGGTCGGGTAACCGGGTCACGTAACGGAGCCAAAAATCTATACAACAGTTCACGACAGGTACAACCGAACAGTGATTAAGCTGGGTATTCTGTCCTTGACGTGATACCCAAGATGACGACGATGACAGCAACAACAACATAATGACCAGCATTAATGG